CAGATCTGTGGGTATTGGATAATAAGTTGAACCCATCTGATACCCGAACAGGCATCCGAAAGATCAGAAAATATTAATGTATTAGTTATTTTTGGAAATGTGTGGTATATTGGGTATGTGTGGTATATTGGGTTTTTTTATGGGTTTTTAGATATTTTTCGGTTATTCTTTAGTTAATTTCTGGTTTTCGTGTATTTTCGGATTTTTGGGTATATTTTTGAAATTTTTGGGTTTCTGATAGATTTTCGGGTTTTCGCGATAAACTTTTAGGTTTTTCGGATAATAAATATCCAAACGACTCAAAATTGGCTGAAACCAAAACATTTTAGGTACTTACCTGTTCTAAAAATTAAGAACCAAACATACTCAGACCCGACTCCAAGAGAATGACTTTTTGTAAAAGTTTCAAGTTTTTTTTTAATAAGAAAATGTATTTTTATTGTCTTTTATATCTTTTTTAATTTAATGTTCATGTTTAGACCTATTTTTCTACATCAACTTTATTATAATAATAATCTCGGTAAAGGTACTTCTTGTTGAAAAACAATATAGATGATGCATATAACTGAGTATATCTAACAACTATATCCAGTTTTTAGTGTACTGTTAATGTTGTGGCCTTTGCTACTATATTTAGGCTTTGTTGCCAATGGATATAAATTGTATATTTTTCAAGTAAGTAAATTCGTCTTTATCATATAGATATATGATTTTATTTAGTAGAAATTTATTAGAATTTATTTGATGATTATAAATTTCTATATCATTTTATAAATATAATGGAATAGATCTTTTTTGTTTGTATAATTTTGGTGACTGTTAATATACATTTAATTAGTTACCTAAACAAATTTTGATAGTGAATTATAGTTTTAATAAATGAAAAAATTAAAAACAGACAATGTTTGTTTAGATCAAAAACATAAAAATAGAAAGTAACCAAAAAGTAAATATAATACTTATTGACTGTAGAGGAAGAACTTTATCATATTATAAATATATAGAAAATATAGAAAATATATACATATAAAATGATAAGTTTGATACTATTTTATTTTGATATGATACATATAAAACTAACAAATAACTAAAAACATATTTATTTTTTGCTAGCACTCAAAAAATTAGTTTTTAGACAAATTTACAAAATTTAAGATTAAAATAATTTTTTCCTAATTTTTCAGCTATTGTCTTATGATAAATAAATAAAAACATTCAAATCGTTAGTTTGATGAAGGTGATAATATATTCTTTCAACTTTCAGATTAATAACAAAACATAAAATTTTCAAAAAATAAATTACAAAACTTAATAATATAAAGAAACACATGAGATACTAACACGTGAAATTATTTTATAAATTTTGTATAATTCATATAATTTAACACTAAAATTACTGCATAGCTTTTTATATTTAATAAATAATTTGACTTTTATTTTAATTCTATGTAACCTTTTATATATATTTTATTTGATTTTGAGCAGAAGACAAAGTATTAAATCAAAACCTTTAATGCTACATGAATATGTGAAGAAGTCACTTGATCACTTTAAACGGAAGATGAAATTTTGAACCAAAAAGATATTTTGACTAATAATTTATTTATTTTCAATCTATATGGTAAAATCTCTATAAATTAATAATATTAGGACTTCAAAATTTTATTAATTTATAGAGTTATTAATTAATTGATAAATTATTAATTATTAATTTATCAAGAAATTAATATGTTATTAATTTATAGAGAGATATTTCAGTTCAATTTCAAAATATTTGTCAAAAAACAAAAAAATAATCAATAATGTAAAATTTATTCAGAAAATATCATATCAGTGAATTTGAAAAATAAGTCAAATAATTTTTATAAACCTGAAACAATAATATAATTATATTTTACTATATTATATTATTTATATATGCTTAAATATATTTATATTATTTATTTATCTAATTATTGGGACTATGTTTTTACATAAAAGTTTCAAAAAAATTATTATCTTATCAAAATTTTCTAATTTTTTCACTGGCCTGACTTGGGACCGACAAAAAATATTAATTTATAATGATTATTAATTTATCTAGTATTAATTTATAGATGTTCTACTGTATTTTAATCAAAACATGAAACTAGATAAAACAAAAAAAATATATATAAAACATGTATAAATTATTTTTATGATATGGTATCCCGTAGCAGAACGTGGGTTTAAATCTGGTACTGTATGGGTTTTGGGCCGGACCAACCCGTTTGACATACCTACTAGTACATGATAAAACCAATTCTCTGACCGGAAAACACGTTCTTGGCAAATCCTTTGACAAAAAAAAATTGAAGAAAGTTCTATTAAACATTACTTTTTTCAAACTGAAAAACTCTAAAAATAAAAGAATTAAACTGAAAGATGATAAAGACCGCAAACGCAGGCCTCTCTGCCACAAATAATAACGCTGGCTCTTCCACTTAGGAAGACCTTAGCCTAAGCACCCTTCCTTTATGTGCAATGGAAGTCACTAGCCTAGGCCACTCGTCTTCTTGATCAGGAGTTGACACCGTCCAGGTAAGTAATTTGTTCGGTCTCTCCACTTCCCTTCTTATACTCTGCTTCCCCATCCATTCTAGTTATCTGTAAGCGATGTGGGACTTAATGTTTTTACACATCTCACTCTCATACAAGGCTTGAAACGTTAAATATTATTGTTTGGGATGTGTATGCACATGGGCCGGACGCTATAGGGCCAGTTAAGTGTTTGAGAATGTGCAAATGAAAACAAATAAGTCTAAGTTTGAGTAAAAAGAACAAAGTGGAAGCAAATTAGTGAAGAGATTAATGAAACAAGAGAATCAAAACAAAAAGAGTAATACCACCATATGCTTCATCGATCAAACTACTAGTGCTCTTGCTGCCTTCCTTGATCTCGTGAAGTGTTTATTGACATAATTATGAGGACAATGTATGAAGAACATCTTAGCTTAGTAGAACTTTGAGGACGTATGTGGATATCTGCATTGAAAGTTGAAATCTCCATGAAACGTTATGTAAAATAATTATAGGCACAACCATAGATTCCTAGGCCATACCTGTTACTTATAAGATTCAGAGAATTGTATATATTTGGAGGTTAGAAAGCATATGATCGATTGATATAGCAAATTGTTTAGAGAATCATACTAATTAATAAATATGGAAGATTGTGTATCTAATCACTAGTGTATCATAGTCTAATGCCTCAACACTTCGTTTTTTTTTATTTGACGGAAAATTTAAAGTAATAATTAAATCATAATACTGTATAAAAACTTTTCATATAAAATCTTTTTTTGGTATAAAAAATTCTAAATATATTTTATCTCAAAATGGTAGCTTAATTAGGGTGTGGCTAGCTAAAACTATATAGTTTGTTGCATGTACATTTTTGCTTCAATATTTCCATCCCATCAACTTTTAAAGACTACGTATGTCTAAAACTTGCGTGTTTTCTAATTTTGTTCATAAACAATCTTATGGCAGTGTGAATTGCTTTTTGTTTAGAGATCCTCCAGGCATATTCTGTTCATAAACAAACCTGTTAGAGATGAAATTCATACCATCTCTAAAATCCCAACATAAAATCTGGTCGGCCCATTTTAGAAACCCAAAGAATATTCAGGTCGATCACATAAATGGAAATCTTCTATTTATCGGACTAAGTCCGGAAAAGATGGAAGATTAGTCTTATCGAAAAAAAAAGTTTTTTTATTTTAGATGAACATAGTTATCTCCAAAATCTCTAATCAAGAAGTAGTAAATCATAAGATACTTTGAACATGTTTTAGAGAAAAATAACTAGATGGATGAGCAATTATTTTTTAATCTCTTGAAAAAAAAGAAATATCAAGAAATTGAATTTGAGCTTTAAACCGTTTTAGTTTGGGCTTGAATAACAAACGGTTCTGGTTCGAAAAACCAAAGTTTTACAGAAATGGTTGGAGTTTCTAGTGGTAGAAATATTCCGGCAGAACCTTCTGAAGAAGATTTTAGGCTTGGATTGCGAAGTAGGATCGTACTTGCCAATGGTCTCTATACATTAGAGATGATGAATAGCTCAAACCACTCTATTTAAAGACATGCAGCCTTTGGTACGGTCGGTTGTTGATGGCTTCAATGTTTGTGCATCTTTGCTTACGGCCAAACCGGGTCCGGGAAAACTTTTACCATGGTAAGAACTGCTACAATACTTGTCTTTATGGAGTTTTTGGAATCTTAGTACAACATCAAATTCCTAATTTGCCTAACTTGTCTAGACAGGGCCTAAGGAACTGACTGAAGAAAGCCTGGGTTGTGAACTACATGGCACTGGCCGATCTGTTTCTTCTTCTATCAAATAAAAAAAGGACACGAACCAGAAATCTCAGTTCAGATGCTTGAGATTTACAACGAGCAAGTCAGAGATCTACTTGCCACAGGTTGACAAACTAAGAGATATCATTTCGTTCTATTAACAAAAGCTTTACCACCAAGCCCTGTACCACTTAACCGTGAGAGGATTTCTAAAAGAAGATCACTTGAAACTCCTTCCATTCGACCTAAAGTTCATACCATGGGAAATGCACCAAGCAACCTTAATTTTCTATAATGTAATTTTTGTAAAATTTTGATCGATTCTACAATTACATTTTATCAAAAAAACAGAAATGAAAAGGCAAAGACCAAAAACGCATCATATAACAATTTTGATCGATGAACAAAACATAAGACAGAATGTCGTGAAAGGGTGTTACAAAGGGGCCTCATGTAAAATAAAATAAAAACACCATGAAGACAAATTCACAAGAATATGGATATCGCTACTAAAACCAAATTAAAAGGCAGATTTAATCATCAGCTAAAAAAATGTTTCAAAATGTTTTCTTCATTTCTCTACTTTGGTCCTGTCTTGTTTTGTTTCATTTGATTCAGGCAATTCCCCGAGGAATGTGGGACTCACAGTGGCATAAACACAATAAAAACGAATGAGAGCCTTACATGAGTCTTAGCTCGTACTCACCAGCCATTGTTATGTATCTCACCCATGGAAGCGCTTGGTACCCACTCTTCTCGATGATCTTCAGGTACCTCACCTACATTACACCACACAACAACATTAAGTACATGAAAGTTTCACCACTTATGGAAGAGATGTAGAAACTAGATAATTTTTCTGGAGGGAAAGCTTACCTGAATCCCTGAAACAGTGAAATAAGGGATCTCGAATTTGACACGGATAGGAGCTTTTCGCTCAGGTGTTGCTTCTTCTGCAGTTATACTTGGAAGATGGAACTCTGCTCTCAACATGTACTCCTATATTTTTTTTTTTTCCTTCTAGAGGTTAGCATCGATACTATATATGGATGATTGTTTTTACTGGATTAAGGAAAAAGCATATCTAACCTTGTTCCCGGGGAAAGATTTGATTTTCCAGACCAATGCATCTTTTTCAGGAGCATAAGCGGCAGATCCTAGAGATGTCCTAACGGTGGGGTTAGATGCATCGGTTGGTACAGGCAACTCAATTTCAACATTCGTTGCGGTGCTGCAAATAAAGAAAGTTCTCGATCAAAATCTGATCGTGAAGATATGTGCATTACAGTTAAAGATAAAAGGAAAAGTGGCATAATGCTATGAAATATATTTTACCTTCGTTCCTTGAACTGACTTCTAGCTTTTACGAGCATCTCTACACGACTTCTTGAGTGCCTTTCTATTTGCGCTTCCACCCATATAAGAGGCTTTACCTGAACGGAGAGTATATAAAAGAAACGCAGCATAAATATTAATTTGTTGAAGACAAGGAAAAATTCACATTCATGCTATATTCCACATATCAAACCTGAGTACTGAGTCTGTATGTCATCAGATCAAAAGCCCCATCAGGTGGTATGAAAGATATAGTCCTATCGTTCTCAAAACGGGCCAACCGAACACACCTGCGTAGAAAAATCGGTTGTTGAAGAAGAGAATCTAGAATCTTTTGAATAAACAGATGTAAAAGGGTTAGGATCACCCACAATTTTAAAAGAAGCTTAAACGACTTACTGATGAAATTTGATGTCCTCTAAATCAATGGCTTTACCCTTTGTTGCTCGTCCTTGCGCTTCCAGCAATACTCTATCATTCAGTCCTAACTTACACTCTGGCATTCCACTGCAATAAATTTGACCGACGAGCAAAAGAGTCAAATAAAACGCCAAGACAAAAGATCAAAGCAAAAGGGAGTTGAAATTTAACATGCTTTAGTTGATTAAAAACACTATCGAGAATATGATGTTATGACGTACGTCAAGTAAGTTCGCATCTTCAGTGCTCCAACAACATCAGACCTGACAATTTGCCCATTACTGTTGACAAGAATATTTACATTCTCAATTACATCCAAGAAAACCTGGAGAAACAAGAGCAGGCTGTCATCATTTGCGAAACAAAAACACATCAGGCAAAACGTTCTTCTCTTGAATATAAAACCACTCACTTCGTTCTTCTTGTACTGTATTCCTTCGCTCCTCCACGAGACAGCATTTGTCACAGCCATTGGAGGTCTCTGTGTAACTTCCATTCTATATGCATCAGTCTTGATGAATTCACTGAGGATTCTTGCTTCGGTATACTGAGGGTAACCAAAGTCCATCATCTCGTCGAGTAACTCATACTGCCACCAACAGAAATCAAATTTCAGAATCTAACAATGAGAAATACTTATTCCAGAATTTTGAGTATATTGCCAAATAGTACTGATGGTAGAAGCTTGACATACCACCACAACAAAGTTATCCCTCAGTGATTCCTCCTCTAGCTCCTCGAAGTAATGCTTGAAGACCTATTAACCAGTATATAGATCAACAATTCCATCAAATGAAACAGCACAATTACTATTGTCCCTTTTCTTTCCAAACCATTACTTACATCGACTACACGGTGAAGAAAGAAGATAAGACTAGCAGCATTACAATTCTGTCTGGATGCTATCATCAGGTAAACGTTACTATGTTGTACAAACATGTAAGTCACCCCATTATCGTATGCAACTGGATCATTTGACTGTGAATCACCCTGACGAATAAAACAATAATGAGAATGATACACAGATTTTTAATCAGAAAGCTTCAAACACTAATCCAAAATCACATAACCAATGATCAAATTCCGTTTGCAATTTCAGAATTTCATTTCCAGTAACGAGAACATCACAGATGAACAACATTTTTAGCGGATTCATTGATCGAAAAGGTTTCAATTTCGATTGGAGAATCTTTCAAACATGAATCCACAAGTTCATTCACTACTTCCAGGTAATCTGCCAATTGTACAGTAACCAACCACTCCGATTACACACAAACACAACCAGCAATAAACACCGATCAATGAGCAGGAAGACGGAGATCATAGAGGAAATTTACCTCTTTCTCGATGAGTTTAGTGAAGAACCGCTCGGCTTGAGCGGCGGAGACATCGCCACGGTAGTCACGCCAGACGAGAACGCGACCCTTGATATCGAGCAGAAACAGCGCGGAGGCCGCTCCTGCCATGTTTCTTCTGATTTCTTCTCTGCGATTACCGAATCAGATCCAAATGCGTCGGATTAATCAACGAGATCTGATGAAATTATGCTTTTATGGAGAAGAAGGGAGAAGTAGACACATCTAGAGGGAGATTGAGGTAGATCTTTCGCAGCTGAGATTCTCCATTTTCGCAATTGAATTTTAGGATCTGATGATTTCGTTATTGTTCTTTGGGGTTGATCATATGATAAAGGTGAAATAAACGGAAGAATTTAGCAAATATTCGGAAAAAGGAGCTCTTACTCTTGTTGATTTTTAGCTTCCCGTTTTCGCCTCTACGTTTATACCAACACGACGTCGTTTTACGCTGCATTTCTTTTTCTCTGTCCAATATTAAATATGAATTTTCTCTGATTTTAGGCCTTGACTCACACATTAATACTGTTCGTTTGTTAGCCGCAGACGGCAGCGACAGAGCAGTAGTGGCGGCAGCAGTAACATTGGCGCATCTTGCTGTTCGTTTCATTGTCGCTGCCGCATCTATTTTATTTTTGTTCGTTTCAAAGCTGCAGGACACAGTTGAAGGATGTTTGATGTTGTTCCTTTGACTATGCAACAATTTTTCATATAATTTATATTTTATTTTTGCAAATTTGTATAATTAGTTTTTTAATCAATAAATTATAATTTAAATATATTTATATCCATAAAATACCATATTTAGGTAGTTAAATATATAACTATAACAACATATTTTGTGATAAATCATAAAATAAATTAAAATAAAAATAATAAACTGAAACATTTAACTGAAATAAAATAAAAATACTTTACCAAATTATAAATAACCAAAATTATAAAAAAACATTATCTAAAATAATAAATAAAAAGTCATAAACAAAGTCATAAGCAAAAATTTAATAAAGTAAATGACCTCTACTATATTTATTTATAATGTTATCATGTAAAATTGTCATCGCTCTATCACCGAGGCTCTTATGCAATATGTCCACTGTTTTTTTTTCTCCTCCTTCTCCTTCTCCTTCTCATTCTCATTCTCCTTCTCCTTCTCCTTCTGTGATTTGCCAATGTACAAAATCATGGTCTTCCTGATGTGAATCACGTATGAAATTGTGTAGTGCCATTGTTGCTGTTACAAGCTTAATCCACTTGGTTAGACCATACTTTGGATGCTAACGATCTAAAATTCTCCATTTTGCTTTCCATACTTCAAATGTCCTCTCAATCACTGATCGCAAATCTGAATGCTTTTGGTTGAACAACTCTCGTACATTTACTGGTTGTCTTCCTCTAGCAAATTGACCAAGATGATATCACATTCTACAATGTGGACCAAGATACTCTGTCCTAGTGGGATATCCGGAGTCAACTAGGTAGCACTTTCCACAAGGCGGATATAGAAAAGAGGGTTCATTCTTCGCATAATGAGTCAAGACTTTTATATCATGTACTTTACCAGGAACATCGACATATGCATATATGAACTTCATATTGAAGTTACATATAGCAAGGACATTCATTGTGGGTTCATGAATTTCTACCTTTATATGCTTCTGCAGTTTGACATGGAGGGCGAACTGAAACATTAGTTCCATCAAGTGCTCTAATGCAGTTTAAAAAATGCATATATTTATCATTATTCTTCAAAGCTGGGTTTACTTTAGTAAACTCACCTTTTTGTGGTTTTAGCGTATCTGCTGCAAACTTGAGGAGAACATTCAAAACATCATCAAGTTTCCTTTTCACTGTATCCAATAACCGTTGATATCTGTCAACTATATCCTGTATAATCTTGTTTTGACCAACTACCTCAGGAAACATTGCAACGGATTCCTCAATATAGACATTTTATGACTATTGTAATCCATACCTCCTAGTTAGCATCTTACATAAAGCTCCAAATATTATTTGATTCATTCGAAGAATGTCATAACACTGCTGATCTGATCCATGCATAAATTGCTGAGCATGACGCCAACCTGCTCCTCAATATGTTCTATGACTCTATTTCTCAGTAGCAATTAAATCTAGCAAACCAAATTCATCATCATCATCACCCAAAATCCATTTTCTAATCATCTACAAACACAAAATATTCATCATCATTATTTATCCCATTTTTTCCCTCCATAACATTTTTTTTCCCCATAATATTATTCTCTGTTAAAGAGTGCAACTTCATCACATTCATAAGAAAATTCCTACTATATAGATTGCTCGAATAATTTTCAGTTATTATGAATTCATCAATTATAGCATGACTTTTGGATTCTAACTGCACATAACATCTCACATAAAAAAAACAAAATCTCTCGTATTAGTCAAACAAACGATCAACATACCAAATGTTAAAATAACTAGGAAAAAGTTGAACATGTAATCTTTGTTCAAAAATAAAAATTTGAATGTATCATCAGTCATCACAAACACATTTCAAAGAAAGAAATAACTTAAATGATCATTACATATACACAAATCTACTCAAATTAACTCAATTTACACAACTTGTAGGAGAGCTAATTATGCTACATCTACTTTGTTAGCACATGAACCATTTGAGGACTGAGCATCTAGTGTAAGAGCTCCCGGATTCACATTCGCTCCTTGATGATATAGATAAAAGCTAGAGAACAAGATGACCGAAGTCCGTATTTATTAGCTACTTGGTCACAGGTGAAATGGTGAATTCAGATCAGCCAACTGAACAGAAATATGGAATGTGCTTAGATGAGAATTGTTCATAGTGCAACAGCGTGAGGGAAGCAAATCGAAACGCTGAATTTATACTGTTTTTATGTTTTTATTTAAATAATTTTTTTTTTAAAGAAAATTGAAAATTTTTTTAGTCTTCTTTAACAAAATTCAAACATTTTTAGTTTTGTTTATTAGTGTTTTAAGAGTCTTACAGGATAATGCGAATATTAATTAGAATATTAAAAGAATTGCTATTAGAAATTTAGCTGAAAACAATAATTTAATTTGCTTTAGAATATTTTTATTTGGAGTCTCTCATTATTAAAAAAATTAAAAAATAAAAAATAAAAAGAAACATATCTTATTTGAAAAATTTTGAGATAATTTCACATACTCAAATATTAACACATGTTGTTTTATAATTGATTTAGTTCTAATTTACAAATAAAGATTTATTGTATCACATAATTATATTAAAAGTACTAGTATTATATAAATGAAATATTTTTGATCAAAAATAAATAAATAAATGAGTATCTAACCAATAAAAATGCTCTTTAAGTAAAATTGTGTTCAACCATTATCGCGGCCTATCGCACCAAAAGGAATTAGAAGGTTGACTCAAGAAAACAAAAGGGATCAAACATTTTTCCGGTGAACAAATAGGACGAGCCTATTGTTGACCAAATATTCAAAACTTTGAAACGAGACATTCTCCATCTCGTTACTTCATTGAATACTTGCACAGAAAACGATATTGTGTTTATGTTTGTCTGCCTTTTGTTCTTTTTGTTTGGTGCTCTTGATTGATTACTTTCAATGTCTAGTCAGTCTCAATTACTCTGACTTCCCTGTCTTCATAAATCTTAACAACAGTTTGGTGTAGCTTGGTTGTTAATTTGTCAGGATCCAGATCTATGATGAAACAGTTTGTCTTTTCAATAAGGTTTGGATCTATGATTACTATTATATACTTGCAGAAAAGAAGAGATACATTCCATTCATGCGATCAAACAGATTCTACAATACCATTTGAGAAACAACAAAAAATTGAAGCAATGGAGAAAGTAACAACTTTTCAAATGATGAAATGATTCTCTGTTGTTAACTTCTCTGCAGGTTTCCAGCAAGAAAAAGCATAGATGACTCTTCCTTTCCATCCCTGATGAAGCATCCAGTTGCTATCACTATCGAATCAAAAAATCTTTATGGTAACGTTTCCTCACGATCTCTTTAGCCTCCTTCATGATCCGTTTGCTCATTGCTGCTGTGATGCAGCTGCATTACAGTTCAGTTCGAACAGTGGTGACTTGTTCGATAAGTTAGCTTACTCGTTATTTTCCTTTTACTTTATTTTGGCTTTCGTTTAGATAATCATAAATCTTATTAGGATTTGGTTTTATGGATTTAGCTTTATCTCTTTATTCTTATATAAAGACTCGTGCCTTGTAACGTAAAAGACACTTTTGATATTGATTTTAAATAAAACAGAGGTTTATAAGCAAAAGAGGAGAACTCTTATTCATTGATCTTCGTCGAGAAATCTCTAGTCTACGAACAAGACCCGAGTTGAGTATCGTTTCTCCTGGAGATTCTGATCCTCTTCTTGTTATAGCTTCCGCCCCCAATTGGTATCAGACTAGGACGTTCTTGTTTTTGCTAATTGTTGTCGCAATGCTGCCGAAAAATAACAACACCAAGACGGGAGGTGACACTCACAGCAACGCAGCAGAGTGGGCAGAACTTAGATCAACACTTCTGGCGATGCAGGAAAACCTGCAATCAACAATTCATGCTTCAATTCAAGAGATTAGTGAAGCTTTGTTAACTCGGTTAGGTGCATGCCACCCGATGCATGTGGTCAATGACGACAGCAACCCCTTCGCAAACCGCCGGGCTGAGATCGATGATGACTATGAAGAAGACGACCACCATCGCCGACGTAAGTGGGAATCTGCTTTCAAAGTTGATATTCCAGAATTTCAAGGTGGTGTTAACGGCGACTATCTTGTTGATTGGCTTAATGCAGTCGATGAAGTCTTGGACTTTAAGCACGTTCCTGATGAAAGGCGTGTTCCTCTCGTTGCTACGAAATTTCGGGGCCATGCCGTGTCGTGGTGGCAACAACATAAAGCCACTCGTGCACGAAACGAAAAATCTCCTATTCAATCGTGGGAAAAATTGAAACGTCATCTCCGCAAAACATTTTTGCCCCACAATTACGATCAGATTACATACACACGCTTTCAGAATCTGAAGCAAGGGTCACGTTCTGTGGATGATTATGCGGAAGAATTTTATTTGCTCCTCAC